TGCATATTTTATAAATACCCACCAAACAAATTAGCTACCATATTGGCTGATGAAATGGTATAAAATGGGCTTTCGTCAGCGAGAATCAGTTTTGACACAGCCAGCGGGTCACAGTGGGGAGGTGTTCCAGTATGCTTAGCTTCTGGGCCGTCACTTTTCATGTTTACAGCTCTCGGACTCTGCGACCGAGGGATGACAAATTGATCACACAAGTCCTTTCACGCAGCATGATGGCACTTGAGTTTCCTGCCTAAACTACACATGTAACTACCAATAATCAATATGACATTTTTGTGCTATTTGCTTCAAAGGGCCCATATTCTCCAATTTTCTGATCTATTTTATAAAGTTGTTTCCTCATCAAAAACATACCTTTAGTAATGTAGAAAGTGCTTCACTGTGTCTTTAAATTCTATACAGTTTTACTATTTGGCTATTTTCAGCCTTGGAATCTCCACTGAACAAAAGGTATCTGTTAACTTGAAAACTACCAGTACATGACATCACAAGGTGGAACAGAACATTTTGAGCTTTGGGGATGCAGATGGACTAATAATAAAGGGTTACTCAAACATGTGTGAATGAAACAAAACAACTCTGAGAATGTTTTTGATGAGGAAACACCATTATAACATGGCTTAAACCTCACAGGAGTCAATTTTGTTTAATATAGGACCTAAAAAAACAAAACATGAGTGTCCATGCCACAATTTCATTTATATTTTTGGAATTTTATCTGCTATGTTGTCATGGGCCCCTCTTCTTCCTCTAACAGTCTGGTACAATTCACTTAAGTTAGTGGAAACTCTTTCAGACAGTAGAAATGTGTTCCATAGTGGCATCATGGCAAAGGTACTATTCTGATCCTGACATTCAAAGACAACAGCTCCTCCACAGTGTAGACGTGATCTTCATTTGCATTTGTTTACATGGAAATCTGATTATGGTGGGGCGCTTGTATAGTAGTTGACAGCAGCAGGATGCTTAGCTGATGTAATTAGGATCAGGGCTGTCAGTTTGTGTGTTTAGATTTTGCCTATGCTACATACGACAGATTATTACGCTATCGAATGCCCGTCAGTCTTCAACAGGCACAGTGGCCGCTTTATTATCTGCACATGATTCATTTCTATGGACCATTACAGGCATGCAACTAATGATCATTTTTCTCATTGATTAATCTTGACTATTCATTGATTCAGTTAATTTAGTCAACAGATTGTGAAGACTTTTTTTTTTTTTACGAAATTTGAACCAGTTGAAGCTAAACAGATGTTGCTCAAACATCTTGACGGTACAATAAAAGACTACAATACTGCTGCTCATAAAAGTATACAATCTCAAGTTTGTATATAGTCTGGAAAACAATTATTCAACTTTTAAATTAGTTGACAATCATTCCAATAATCTTTACTACCCATTGTATATACTTTCTATAAAAAAAAGCATTTATTTTTTGACACTCAAGTATGGTGTGAACTTATGTCTGTGCTATTGGATAGTATTTGGCAAATGAATCCATGTTAGAAGTATTTGGACCTGATAACATGCCCACTCTATATGGACTTGATGATTGATAGATAGCCAAGAAATGTTAAAGTTGTAGCTAAGTTTATCTAACATCTCCAAAGTTATTGTAGCAGATGCCATTTTAGTGTGCACTACTTTAAGCCAAGTTGAGAGCATGTGAAGTCTTGACAACAAAAGTATATTTCAGCTGTGAATGTGCGGAGCCATGGGAGAAGAGTATTGATTTATGAAGTGGCTAATTGAAAACTCTCACAACAGCAGAGTAGAAGTGACTGAATATGCCCACAAGACGTTAGCATTCTGTCTCGTCCATCAGAAATGGCCACAAAACTCAAATACCGATACATCAGCAAACATCCCGCCAAACCCCACACAGCCCTGGCTCTCCTTGTGGCTACAGTTGTCATTTGAATAAACAGAATATGTTTTTCCACCAGTACGAGCTGTATTATGTATCACCCAAACACTCATGAAAGAGCAATCCTGAGAGGAGCGGTGCCGGTGACTGACTTTGAGCAAAAAAGTGAAGTACCAAAGGTTGAACTTGGAGCAACTTAAAGAGACTTGTAAAAAGAAGATTGAGGCTCAGGGGAGGTGGGCACAGAGGATAGGCAGGCAGACAGACGCGGTTGTGTTGTGTTGAGGGTTGTCGGCATAGCGATGTTGGGAAAGGATCAACGATGTAATACCGGAGCAGACTGATGCAGCTCGGGGACAAGTGGAGGGGTCAGTGGGCCCGGGACCCCTCGATCCCCGGGAGGCGGAGTTTGATGTCGGATGTTTCTCAGGATAGCTATGAGTGATGGAGCTGCTGCAGGGACAAGGCACAATGGCCACCAAAAACAGACTGTACAAAGTAGCATTTACGATGTTTCCATCTCTCAGGAGGGTCCTACATCTAAGTCACATTTTCATTGAATTGCAATTTTTCTTGAACTTATTTTTAGATTGATTGATCATGCAGAGTCACTGTGGAACAACTGCTTCCTTTTTGGAGATTGCCCTTTCGTTTCTTTTCAGTATAACTTTATTACAAAACTTCTGCATGTACTTTCCCCTCGTATCTGATCACTGTATTTTACAACCATGAGCCATGCAACTTTCTCAAGTTATTAAAAAAATCTTATCTGTATAAATTTTGTGAAACTTAAGATCAAACTGGATCTTGAAGGTCACAAAGCCAAGCAAAAATGGAAGGCTAATGCAGATAGCTGTGAGGAGTTTTGTCATTTTGATTTGCTTAAAATATATTGCAAGTATTTTTCTGCATTGGTGACAGCTCTACTTTCAGACTCACTGTATTGTTTCTCAGCTTGCTCTTCTGACATGTTCTGGAGTCAGTCAGCCTAACTTTTTACTACACAATCTATTATTTATATTTCACAATTTTATATGTTGCATAACATTGAAATAGGGGTGGACAATATTGACAAAAAAGCCCCCCCTCTCCATTATCTTGATTACAATATTCACTTGACATTTTAACAATATATAAGGATTGTGCTAAAATGTTCTTGTAAACGTCTTGGTTGAAATTCATTATTGCACAAATTGTAAATAGACTCTCTTAACCACAAAAGCTCATAAATATCACTGCACCCTTACATAAAACAGGGAGGTAATGTATAATAGTTTTGTCTATAGAGATATGTGGTATTCTTTGTCTAAAACAGTTGCTACTAGTATATTATCCTTTTATATACAGGTGGATATATATAATATATATATATATATATATATATATATATATATATATATATATATATATTAGCCCGACCGATATGGATTTTGTTGTGGCCGATATGAAACCGATATAATGGGAGTTGGAGCTGCCAATATATTTAGTGATGTAAAAATTCACAGTAAATCTTGAATTGTTTACAAAACTTAGGTTTGGCTCTAGTAGATTCTAAATTGGGTTTATTTAGGCAACATTTATTGTTATTCTGACTCTTTACGTCATATTTACAGACAGTAGATTGGCCTAATGGCATTTTTGCATCACATTCTAGCTACTAGTGATGGGTGTTCCAGTTCTTTTTAGAGAACCGGCTCTTTTGGCTTGGCTCACTAAAGCAGCTGGCTCTTTCGGCTCCCAAGCGACTCTTGAGATTGTTTTGTTGCAAGCAGAACTAAACCAAAACTGAACCAGGACTGAAAAAGGACTAAACCAGGACTAAAACATATTTAAACCATGTGTAAAACAGGACTAAACCAGAACTGAACCAGGACTGAGTGTCGGGACTCGGTCTCTCCCTCACTCGAGCCCAAGATTAGTCCTGGTTTATTCATTTTATGCAAATATGCACTTTTTTTTTTTTATCCTATGCACACGCAGATTTCTGAAAGTTTCGTTTTCAGCTGCTGCTGCTGTCAAACTACGGGTCTACAAGCGGCTTGAAGAGAAAAAGTGAGAAAAAGAGAAAACACGGCTCCCAATGAGAAACATGCTCCCGTTGTTTGCTTCAAAGATCCGGCTCTAAGAGCCGCTTCGATCGCGACCGACCCATAACTCCTAGCTAGTAAATAAACTACCGCTATTAGCCTTTAGCCGTAAAAACGTGTGCGCCGCGGTAATTAATTATATGCATAAATGTGGATCATTCACACGTCTATTCACAGCTCATTTACATATGAATGCTGGTCCAGTAGCAAATATACGGCCAATGTAGTCACTTTACAATAGGCCAATAGAAAACAGCCTGTTTATTGGCGGGAGCTACAGCAGCTAATCGCTAATAACAAATAGCCAAAACTAGCTTCAAAGTCGATGTATTTCCAACACTCACCGCTCACACAGGCTCCTCCTCACATCACAAGTCTGCACTAATAAATGTCCTTTTATTCCAGACTCAAACCGATTGTCCGTAAAAATAATATAATCTCACTGTTGCGCACCGCTCGGGTGTAAACAATAGCACGTGAGTGAAGTGACTTGACTCTGTTGGTGTGTTCAGGGACAGTATGGACACAGACACAGACAAATTACACCGCAGATAAATACTGATGCGGAGCCACATATTAGGACATTTATCTGTCTGTAAATTGGATTAAATGAACATAATGTACAGAGTCTAAACTTTATAACGAGGTATAACATGCCCACTTGAAATATCGGCCTTTATCAGCAAGCATGTCTCCATGTCGGCTCTAATATATATATATATATACACACACACACACACATATACACCACCTATACGTTTAAACTTTTTTCAGCTTCACTGTGACCCATATTGGGAATTTGTCGTTCCCCATTCTCACACCAATTCTTAGTTAAGTCACTGTGAAATACTTTTGAATGTTACACTTCCACTGTGCCATATGCAATACATGTCATCACAGACACTAGGTTCCAGATGAAGTCCTTGCCTGGACATGCCCTCGAGCCAGAATCTTGTCCATTTCTGATTCAAATTGACCAGCTGTATTGGCAAAACATAAACTCATGACTCTTGCTTGTCTTGTAGTAACCACCTGGAGAAGAGCCTTCAGCTTTTGATGGACAGAGTTGATGACATGAGCCAGGAGATCGTCAAATACAACACCTACAGCCGCAACCTGAGCAAGCAGCAGCAGCAGAAGCACCAGGTAAGACTAGTGTGTACTATAGTGCACAGTACCAACCACCACCTACTACCAGTGCACATTCGGGGAGAGTTCAACACAAACTCACAGTGACGCATTCAAACACAATCGCCCACAGTCGGAAGGATGAAAAAACCTGTACACAGCTTTTCTCTCAGTCTCGGACACAAGCAATTGAAGCCATAATCACAGCATGCAAACAGCAGACACGCCAGGTAGCCAGGGAGAGGGCAGGAAAAATATGGACTCACATTATATGTGTGCACCCACTGAGAGTCGCAGCTCTAACAAAAGTAACAAGCAAACAGGGCATTTTGAACATTTACCAATATATGCACATCGGGACTGTACCCATTATAGTCACAGTGGGGACGCTTGTTGAAGTCGTCGTTGAGGGTAGAAAATGTCAACTTAAAATGAACACATACAAAAAAGAGGATGTTTACATTGGGCCTGCTGCTTTTAGATGGGTAATAACCTTTTAGGACTATAGGATTCTGCTTTGTTTTTCTTTGTTGGGGTTTACTAGTATTGCATTCAGGAATCACTTTTCCAAGTTCCCCCATATCTTTACTAAGGTAAACTTCAAACGTTTGTTAGGTGACTGGGATATCAGGCCACAATATTATCACTTCAGTATACCTGCACCCGCATCAGTTTAGTATAGGGCTTAATGGTTTTGAAAATATATCTAATTACGTTTTTTTGTTTCAAGCATTGCCATTGCAATTACTATTTAGATCTATGATTCAATTGTAGGATTTAGTTCAAAGTTCATGGTTTAGAAAGAGAATTGAAATTAGAACTGTTAAGCATTACAAGAATAACAGAGTTCAGAATTGGTTTGTAGAGGTCTCAGCTACAGGGTTAGCTGGTTTTAAACATAATAAAGATATTTTGTTAACAGAAAATTATGTTACCTAAATAATTGCTGTTGTTTGCAGAGCCCTGTTTTTTAAGTCTACACTGCAGTGCTGGCATCTTTCATGCTGTATAGGCCCATAGCTTTCCTCTTTATACTTTAAATTTTTATAATGGCATTTTTTCAGCAGCACATTAGTTCATGATTTGGCCATTATGTGCCAAAGGTTCTCATGGGACATTGTCAATTTCCAACAAACTGAAAAAAAGAACATCATAATTTTGCACATGGGGCATAGAACTCTTATGTTAAGTATATTTGGATATATTGTGGCAGATACAATGGCATTCTGATGGCAGGTTTAATGAGCTAGTGGTGGTGGTGATTTCATTGTCCTTTCACACTGGCAGGTCAGGGGCTACAGCTCTTCCAAGAAACATGCACTTCTGCCAACCACCAGCCATCATTACTTATGCCAGCAAACACAGACAGGAAATCGAACAAGCCTGATTGGCAGCTATGCCCAAAAGACATGTTTTGTCAATAATCAGCATCAATTGTTACTTGTTGTTGTCTGAACGTGGCAGGCCAAATTTCCCAATTTGGCTCAAATGAAAAAAGTATTGTTAGATTCTTTGTGCTAGGGTCATATCTACATTTGTTATCTTTTAATACAGAAACCCACCAAATGAATGGAAAATGAGGTCAAGTACAAGTGGCATTCAGGACCGGAACATAATATAAGTCTGTCTTTGGGTTTGAGTTTGACAGAAAAGCTGCTCATTCTGAGGCCTGTTGCCTGTTAATTGCCAGTGTTGGCTTGTTTCTTTGCCATGGCCTGCTTGAGTCCGTATTTGGGATTAATTCTTTTCAGATGAGATGTGATCACGTTGCCGGCAGCCTTGGGTCCCTTTTCGCATCTATTTATCTCTCCAACTTTTCTTTATGAAATGATTTTTTTTTGCAGACTTTCTTTTTAGTCAATGCACTTGGATTGGTTGTGTAATCTAAATACCATCTTTCCACTCTCGATACAAGCCAGAACACATGAACCAGCTTTTGCAGCCAACAGCGAGAAAACAATTAGACAAACACAGGAAGAGCTGGAAGATTGGCTGCATTTATTCAGTGAAGAAATGTAAATGGGGAAGCTGGACAGTATCCACTCTCCTGTCCTCCTTTCCCACCTTTTCCTCTTGAGCTCTCTGGACAAGGAAGTTTAAGCAAAGACAAACAGGTTTAAAAAGTCATTCCTGTTATTTTGTGTTGACACTAATGAGGAGAGAGTGACTAATGTTAACCTTCACATTTCTGTCACGACAATATCATTGCTCACCTCACCGAATACATACAGCCAATGCAGATCACCGTCTTTCTCATGGCAAGCACGTCCCTACTCCATCTGCTGCATTAGTTTCTTGTCAAATAAGTGGGCATTTTCATCAAAATAACAGCTAGTTTTGTGGCAGAGAATTTGATTTATGCTCCAGCGAACAAGGATGCGTTCAGTAGGTTAAGCACAATGGGTACATGGAGACAATGCAGAAAATACTGCCGACTCACAGGGGGAGCTGTAAAGACACGGGGTCTGCTTGTATTATTAAAACAGCTTTTTCTTTTAATGATGCGAAAATGCTCTTTTAGCTGCCTCCACACCACTGAGACGAATCACTGAGCTCAAACTTAATTTTAACAAGAGCTGTGTTACCACATTGTAAAACACACACACTGCATTATAGACATACAAGATATAAACATACACCTCCCCTCCTACTACGCTGAGCCAAAAAAACAAGACTATGAGGAGATGGCTATGCACCATCTGCAAGTATAACCTTGGCTGGACGCATCCTAAACATCAGTCAAACACATTACATTACTCAGTGAGGATGAGAAAAGGCTGAGTCATTGAGGAGAGCCTGACACCTACATCCACTCATCTACATTGTATTGCAGTTATTTCTCCTCATTGTCTGATGTGTTCCTCGAATGCATTCATGTGGAATACAAGAAGTAGCACAAATGGGGGTAAAATAATGCAGACTGAAAAAGAATAAAGACTACTGTGTGTGCATATGTACCACATAATACTTCTGCAGTATACAACATAATGCAACGTGTACACTATACATCTCTCCAGGGCCACTGTCTCTCATTAAAGAAGGTTGAGGGTTCTACCTTGGACTTGGCAGTTAATTGAATTCTAATCAAATTGAGATCTAATCGAGAATGTTGTGTGCTAAATGGCACTGGAGTGGGTGCTGTTTAAGAAAGTTCATTTGTATCTTTTTGTTCATGCTTATTAAGTCAAATTTTTTTCTCATAACCACACGACTTATCAAAATCTAAATCGATCAGTAAGAGAGAAATTAAATGGTGCCTTATCTCCCATTCCTTGTTACACCCCGCTTTGGGCTAGTTGCGTTTTTATGTGTCTGCACTTCTTATACGACTATAGGTTCAGTTTGGAAGCTTCAGCATGCTTCCACTGTCTAAAGATAAGCAGGTGTTCATGAGGTTGATCAATCTTGTCTTTGATCAGTGACTGTGAAATTGAACATCTGTGGTTTGGACATTTAATTTACTAACTATTCCAACTAATGTGCTTAGAACCAATAGTTATGTCTTGAATGTTGTAGAAATTTAAAGATGAATAATGGCTGTTACTAGGGATGGTAGAAGATCTATTACAAAGCTCTCTCATGGGGAAAAATGAAAAGATTGTGCACATATGTGGAGAATGAACTTTTCCTCCGCATTTACAAATGGGTCAGGCAAAGTGCTAGTGAATTATGTTTTGTGAAGCCTTTGTTCAAAAGAAGTTGTTTTACAATGACAACAAAAATATCAAAGAAAATATGAGACCAAGATTGTCAACTGAACCGGACTATTCATTTATTATTTATGAAGTCTTGTCGTGTTTCGTGGACTCAATCTTGTCTCATGTAATCTTATGGGAAATGTCTCATCCTGATCTCATGAGTTATAAGTTATTTAACATTCTTCAGCTCAAATGTAATCTGAGTACAGAAAAATAACAAAACTAAATCTTCACTAGTACAAGGAAAAATTACCTACGAAAAATATTGACCCCTTTCTGAATGATAGAACATATGGGCCCATCCCTGTTATTGACTTTTTTTTTCTATTTTTTGAAGTCGATAAAAGGGGTGTGCATTGCCACGAATTTAGCGATATCGTTCGTTTATCGCCAAGAGGGTTTTTTTTTTGTATATTTTACTAACTTATTTTGTTACAGCACTACAGTTTTGTTTGTTTAGAGGAAGGAAACTTGTTTCACACATTTGATATTTTCACTGTTTTGATGATTAAAATGTGCGTTTTTTATATGAACTTTGCACAAGAAGTGGTTTAACAAAGACTTTTAGTATGACAGCCATGATTTAGCCTTTATTTTTTACTGAACTGTATTGATTATTTAATTAATTTGAAATATATTGCACTGTATCGAGATATGTATCGTGATCTATGTATCGTATCGGCAACTTCTTTGATACTCAGCCCTGGTCATGATCATATCACGATATATCCTGATACTAAAACAAAGGATGATATTTTGTGATTAGAATATGAATTACAGATAATATTCTGGTCAAGTACACATTCACAAGAACAAAACTGAATGAAATGCAATTCATATTTTTTTTTAATTATGAGATATTTGCCAGTGTTAGTATTTTATCTTTTTAAAATCCAGAGTCAGACTCAGAAATGTATATAGAAATTAAAAGATACAAATTAAATCATTAGTCTATTCCAAACAGGCATGCAGAGTATGAGGAAGCACCAAAATATATCAGAAAACAATGAATTGGTATCTATCTCGGCTGATACGACAGTGGAACCAATATTTCACCCATCCCTGGTCAATAAGTATTTATCGTGACATGCATACTCATCCTCTTCCCTAAGTATTATTGATATTGTTAGGTTTACTTGAGCACTCCTGATGACCAAACCGAATAATCACCAGTATAGCCCAGCTGTTTGAAGTTCAAGTCGAAACATTCATGTGCAACTACAGGTTATCTGCCTAAACCCTCACCTCTGCTCCCACGCCTTCCCCAGGCCTGCCGACCTACACAGCCACCATTACGATCCATCACGCCCGCCTCCTGACCTTCTCATCATCGCCGCGCCCCGAGCCTTTACCCCCCTCGCATGTCACGCAATCTCACACTGACAAGCCCCTAATGGCGTCGACTTTTTCACATTTCCGACTGTTACAATGTGGAAAAATCACGCTGCGCACACAACACTGAAGCAATGCCCAAACCGCCATTACTCTTTTCAGACATGTACATTGCGTGCTCCATGTGATCCCAGTGCTATGGACTCCGGCTGCTTCCTGAACAAATGAAACCTTATTAATCATCATAGAAAACTGCAACAACAAAAAGGGAAAAAATAGATGCTTGGGCACGCGGAGAGGTGCATTATTCATTTAGCACCTCTCTGAATTGTAAATAGCTGCGTTCTCGGGCACAATCTGTGGCTAAGTTAGTCTTTGTATCAGGAAATTTATGTCTCACTCGGTGCTGATTTATCTGTTTTATGTTTTCTTTTTTTCCCTACAGCCACAGGGAAGCAGGCATCGCTTAGCACTAGATTAGTTATGGGCAAATGTGCTAATCTCTTGAGTCATGATTTATGGTTAACGATCCTATTTTGCACAATATCCAGATGCATATTTTGATGTAATTACTGAGCTGTGTAATTGGCTTTGATGCCATTAAACAACAAACATAGGTGAAGAAAGAGTGAGGACTGTGAGGTGCAGGGCCGGCAGGAGAAGTCTGCTGCATGCAAATGGGACCATCAAAAACAACTGATGAAAAAAGGTTCCCACGTCTCATCTCCATCCACACACTATTGCACGTTTGTTGTTCAAAGTTTATCTAATAGAGTATTTTGTGTTTGACACATTGGAATACAAAGCACTTAAGCCCTGAATGCAAAGAGAGATTAAATGTTAGTCTTTAAGCACTACTTTGGTGAAGTGAAGCTTGGCTAAGCGGCCCAGGAGCTACATGTCAAGAAGGGCCTTGTATTGGAACTGTTCTGGTAGTACAGTAAGTGTCCATACCATGTAACAACTATATGTTGTGACTTAATCTGTGCAGTACTAACCTTGTTCTGGTGTACAGTAGCCTCATACACCAGAATGAAGTTAGGGTTAGTTAGTTAAAAGATTATTAATTATATTTTTTGTGTTTCTGGAGCGTCATCAAAGACGATCAAAAATCCACACATGCTACACTATCTATGGACACCAGATACCAGCACAAGAAACAAAAATTTAAATAAAACAAACCTGAATCACTGATTATCAATATAGTCATTAATTAACCCTATGTGGCTCGTAGTAAAGTGTAGTAGAAAACAATTCTACATACATTTGACAGTACTTTTTTTTAGATGACACTCATTCTGGTTTAGCTATTTTTTTTTATTTGTTCTGTTTTTTTCAATGATTACTGCGTATGCCATTTACTTAGCCTTTAATTACATTATTGCTAATGATGGCAGAGTTGTGTTGATACTGCAGGCTTACGCAGCTGTTAGCTGATCTAACACTGTACCAAGGCTTTTTTGACACAGAAAACAACCAAGCTCTTGAAAACACCTGCGGTTTCACAAAAGCATCTTTGAGATTTTCTGCTATCATCCTTAAGCTGTACTTTGGTATCGTAAAGCCAAACTAAGTATCAGCAGGTAGAAAAACACAACCTTGCCCGGCAGTCCCCACCTCACGCTGAGAGGATGTTGTCTGCTAGAAGACCCTGCAAGGCATTTTAGAGGAACTGTTAAAAAATAAATACCAAAAAACAAACATGCTGCCTACTGCACTTTGTCAGAGAGGTGCATTATGGGAGAATATAGTTTCTTACTTTGCAAATACTGACCTCAAAAAATATTGATTTATCTGCCAGGACATAAAACACATAAGATTTCCCAATGCCACTCAAAAGCAGTGTGTGAAAATAGCTCAAAAGTCAAAGGTGGCTTCTGTAATGATGTCTTCAAGCACACAGAATAATTAATTCCATTTTAGTTCATTTCAATCAAATTGTCATCATCGTGCAATCACTTTGAACCATTTGACAATCAGAAACAAAGACTAAAGAAAGTGTTTACTTTAATGTTTATTTTTGAAAGGTGGAGCACAGGTTTCCGACAGTTATTATTTTCTTGTTTGAGAATTTGCATACATGTATATATTTGCATGCTGATTGTGCTCGAAAAAGTGACTGGGCTTTGAATAAAAACCTTCTCATATCAACAAAGGATTTAAGAACACATTTATGTATTTATGCAGTCAGGTACAGATGCATTTTGTGTTTTCACTGCTTAATTCTGTTTTATGTGAGTCTCTCTGCCATCTTGCCAAATTAACAAGGCTTTTAGGATCTCTGGAGACCTGATACCTCTGATTTACTGACTGTCACACCTCCACAAATCACTCTGCCCCTGTCAGCACTTTTATATCTCCTCCAAAATCTTCCCTTTTTATCGCTATGATCTGATTGGTGGTTTTTAGATTCTAGAAGGTGATGTTATAATTCCAGATGGGGGGCAAAGACAGATTTTCCATTATATAGAATTGTATTTTCTTTGAAATATTCAAAATGCAAGTTGATAAATATTGAACCTGATCATTTATATTAGTGACGAGACCATAGACTGTATATATAAATGGACATGGGTAACCCGCTGGTTGCTGCATTCCAAATAGGAAGTGAGCATGGGGGCTCTTCCGGCTCCTTTGACTCCGTTGTTTGGTTAAATAAATTCTCATTCTTAATATGGAACTGGCTCCAAATTCGCCACTGTAACAAATCACTTTTTTTTTTTCTTTTTTTCTTTTTTTTCATTTGACTGGAGCCGAACACTATGGGTGACATCACACTCACTTGCAAGTGTGCAACAGAAATGAGCATTTTATCAAAATTAATTTTAGCTGTCCTACATCTGTATTAAATATTACTGGGCTATTGAATGTTGTAATGTCACCAGAAACGATACATCTGGAGCTCACTATTGTGCATGCATGTGCCTGTTCTCAAATTACAATTTCAACTTTTGCTACGCTTCTGTTCAGATTTTCTCACTTTTCGAAGCCTTCTATGTTTATTTTATAAATTCTCTTCATAGTTTTATTATATTTGCTCTAACTTCTCTTCGTATTCTCACTTGCTCTTATTTGCTCCATGTTTGACAAAGCGTTCTGACCTTGAGTCTCGCACAATTATAATTTCAGACTTGTATGTATAGACTTTCTGCAGCACTTCGTTTAAATATAACTTTTAATCTGAGGTACGTGTTCTTTCATGTGTGGATGACTTCAGTTAACATCTGTTCACTGTTAGTACCAGAAGTCTGACTGTCTTGTTTTTTGGTTCAGTATTACATACAGATACAGTCAGAAGATACAACTGATGAATGTTTATGTTGATGGAAATGTAAGGTGAAACATGGGCTGTTTATTTTGTTAGTATTACTCTATATTAACTTTCCTCAATATAATTAAAGTAAAAATTACAAAGCCGTGAATGTGAAAAGTTGTTATCAGCATTTGGTCTGTTTTTGTTGACAAACCGCTGAACAAAAATGTCTCTCGCAATAATGCTCAATAGCTGTGTTTACCTCAAATATTGACTCTATTATAGTAATGATAGAGTTGTGGCGTCTTGGCTCTGGTCTGATACCTGGCTGTTTGTGTGCAGTACCTCCAGCGCAGACAGCAGGAGAACGCTCAGAGACAGAGCAGAGGAGAACCCCCGCTGCCCGAGGAAGACATCACCAAAATGTTCAAGCCCCCCCAGCCCCCACCACGGATGGACACACTTCTTATCGCAGGTAAGAACTTGTATCTGGTACAGCACACAGTGGGCTGCATGTAAATGTGTATCAAAGTTTGTGCTGTACTAACATTGCATATTGGAGTTGCATGATTCTTTCTACTTAGAGACGCTGTAACTGTTTAACATTTTGAAAAACGGAACTAGTTCATTTTTAACCTTTTCGCAGTGGCCCAAAGTTATTTCTCTCTCTCTCTTTTTTTTTTTTTTTTATTATTCACCGCACTGATTTATAAACACATTTTAAAATTTTCAGAGGCCAGAGCAGAGTTTTGCCATCACATGACTGCCAACAATAACTAGCATGTTAAAAGAACACCAGTCTTACTTCCTGGCTTTGTTTCTCCACTCCCCACTTTTTATACTGGGTTTAGAACAAAATTGGAAGATGTTTATTTAAACTCTAGCTCTGATACTTATTGAACATGTGTTTATTTGTAACAAAACTGTATGTCAAAAGCTGGTCCAAATATTTTATATATAATTACAACAATATTTCACACCGTATACTTTATGATTTCATTCAGCCCTGGTACATCCTCTTTCTTTCTCTCCCAACCTTCCCCCGCCTTTGCTCTGCTCACTGGAGCTCAGGTTCTGTTTTGTAATTATCTCCACCATTATGGAGAAATTACATTAATCTAAAGTTTATTGACTCAATCTTCCAACTCCACCGCCCCTTTTTGCTGATTCACACTGCTCCACCGCCTCCTGACAACATCCTGATCCTTCCGTTCCCTCCACGCCCCTCTAATTTGATGTTTTGCTGCTGCCTGCTGCACTTTCCCCTCTCCCTCTCTCTCTCTTCCTTCCTCCCCCGCCTGTTGTTCATATATGCATGCGCTGAGGTGAGGTGGGGGCTTGTTTGTCATTTTCTCTGTGCGTGTGGGTGCACTTGATTTCATGTGGTTTCTTTCCAACAGGGCAAATTAACAACTACTGCCAGAACGTGAAAGAATTTACCTCACAGAACCTGGGAAAGCTGTTCATGGCAGAGGCTCTCCAAGGCCACAACTAGAAATGAGACAGACAGCCAAACATCTGAGAGACAACGCGAGCGCCATAAAGAAAACCTATTGCTTCACAATATCTCCATTGTTTTTACTTAAATATTGGCCACAAAATTATCAGATTTTCATTTAAATAAAAGGTCATTCCCCTGGAAGAAGAATTTCAGACTATGTGTTTTTCTTGGTAAATTTTTGGTTATTTTGTCACCAACATCTTCACCCATCTTGGGTTTTAAATACTCTTGAGCTAGAGAAATTGTGTGTGGAAAGGGAGGTCTTTCCTCCCTGTTCAGACCGCTGCCTCTGTGACCTGGCCCTGGATAAAGTGGAAGAAGATGGATGGAAGGAAGAAATTCACCTAACACAAGTTTCAAAGCCTGGTGGGTCCCGGGAGAGCATTATTTAAACTTATTAGGCAGTGTCACCACAAAGTAATGATTAGAAAGTTTTCCCAAGTTTTTAATTAAAAAAAAGAGCATGATCATCTGGCTTTGTCATTTTAGAAAATGATTAATGAAGAAGTATCCTTAAAAAGTATTGTTCAAGTACCGGAACAAAATACAGTTCAACTCTCCCATCTGTATCCTGCTCCAGTTGAACAATTGAAGTCCTACATGCAAAACTGTATGACTCTTTATTTCAATAAGCTTCCTCCTATTAAATCTTTTTCGAGTTTTATGTCCTCCATTTAGCCACAACATCCTTCTCCTGCTAATTGCACCATATTGTAACTCTGAATTCCAGCATCATTTTGTGTTTTGTCATACTCAAGTTTTGTTGAGAAAATGCAAAACTGGGGCTTGGTTGCATAATTCAGTATAATTAAACTGGTACTTGCACGTAACAGCAGTGATGAAACAAGCTCAGAAACACAAGCAGGTGGAGGCCATAGCGGTAAATTCGTTCAAGTGTTGTTTTAGACTGTGGTAGAAATTGTTACCTTGTGAACAGTAAGTAAAGTGGCTGTTACTCATCTCAACCCTCATGGTCTCACTGCACCAAACAATATTTTTAAAGCTTTTCCCCCTTAAGGATGATGGAAATTTATGTTCAATAATCTCCTTTTGTTCTACTCCGGTAGCACTTGGCATCTGTCTATTCTGAGGATTTAGAAAGATGATCTACATAATAAAATTGGCACAGTTTGAAGATATGTTTTTAGATGGAGAGCTGTGGGGTTTGCCAAAAAGTGGAATGAGACTGTCACCTGCTCTGGCTGTGATTTCTCGACAGTGTTTTGCCAAAATCGACTAAAACTGATAAGCACTTTTGGAGATGCTGCTAACAGAGGAAGTAATTAATAATATTGAATTGGCAGAGAAAGTGCTTTGTCTAATGAAAAAAGTCAAATTGGCTTTTTTTGATACGCGTCATGCATGCAAATAAGAAAAGTTCAAGAATATACAAACATTTATTTTGAAGTCATTGGTTTTTTATACTTGGCTTTGGACAGTTAAGTGTACATTTCTGCATACTATAGAACAGGGGTGAGCAAACTACGGCCCAGGGACCATATGCGGCCCTTTAATCTTTAATCCGCCCCTCTGAACTTGGAATAATAATAATTTTCAGTGTTTTAAAAGTCATTTCAATAAATAGTAAATACTGTGGGACTTGAAAGACAAATATTTTGTTGTAATGATTTTAATTTATGGGATATTTCAGTAACATGGGATATGTTTTCTACATATCCCATGTTTTTTCTCTTATGAGGCAGATTACAAAAAACCTCCTTCCATCTGCTCCTGATTCGGCCCTTCCTTCAAAATTTAGAACCCTTTATGGCCCAGGAGTCAAAAAGTTTGCCCACCCCTGCTATAGAACGTGCATGTTACAAATACAATAAAGCTTTTTACATTATGAATTATCCGTATATGTATTTTAGATTTCTTTATTATTAGTATTTAGTGTTGTTACAATACTAAAATTACTAAGGAATAGACTCGCTACTCAACACCCATCTCAATACCACGATGATGATGGAAAAAAAAAACAACAGTCTTGACACTTGAAACTCAAAACATTTTAAATTTAATTTTCAACATTAAATAATAGTATTTTGTTTTATATTACCATGCGGCCTAATATCTGTTTAAACCCTCAGTCGTCCAGGTAGGTCCTCTACATGGGCGTATACCAGTCAATATGGTCATATAATCACTGTTCGGCAAGTTACTTTAAAACTGTAATGTGTTATTTATTACTTATTACTGTCATTTCAAAGTAATTCGTTACATTACAATATTACTGTATATTTAAAATGTAAGGCAAATGTAATACATTACTTTTATAATGCATTACTCCCAACACTGCTTATAATTGATACAAAGCAAGATCATTTTAAAGCTATTCAGGAAAGGTTCTCCTGTGTACTGTGAATATGACGTTTGTTTTTTTAGTACTGATGCCTGCTCACATAAGTATAAAGTTCTACAAGTTTTTGTATCAAGCAATATATGACTTTCGATACTTTTGTCACTCCTGTTAGTATTTTTTTTATGTACTTTGGTTCTACAGTGTGCTTTGGGTGTATAAGTTGCCAGTTCCGTGATGAAAAATGTAAGATAAAGACACTTCATTATTAAAAACATGTTTTAATATTTCTTTGAAGGTAGGGACTGCTATTTACCAGCTTCTAAAACAGTTGTGTCAGCCTGTATTGTGCTCATTAGTTAAAAAAAGACTGAATTATAAATGTTAACTGAAGGGCTTATTTTCACCAAGTCCACCTCTGACCACATTTTCATTACTGCCTACAACAGTTACCATCTGCTGAGAGACGTTAAGTGCATTTTAGGGTTATTTCACAATTTAGTGTTGCCATCGAAAGCCTGCTTTTGGAGATATTTGTTTATACACTACATCACTGAGCAGGTGCATAAGGTAAGCTGAAAAGTATAGCTGCAACTCCAAATGGGAAATTATAAAGTTGAATCTCATAATGGTGCAATGAGTTTGATTATGCCATTAAGTTTGTCGCTGGCCCTGTTCCAGCTCAGATGAATTTGGGAGGTGGACGTATATATTCGGGTACATTAAATCCAGTAGATGTAGATAAGTCAAGCCTACATAGTGTTTGTAATAAATTAGATTGACAGGTAAGATTCAAATAAGTCAGCCTGATTAGGCACTTTTATATTACACATCAAAGGATATGTAACCTTTCTAATGTAGGATCAGCCTGCTTGACTACATGGAATGCTGTTGCCTGCAATGTTTCACAGTGTGGCATTAAACTTCTCTCTAGATGACTCAATAAACACCTGTAATGGGATAGTTGCAAGCACTCACCCAGTCACACATATTTGTACATCCGTGTACGCAAGCACTGGTGTATGGTGAGTAAAGTGTCTTGCCCAAGGACACACATGGCATTCATCTGTGGGTCATTGGATCGACTGCTCAGCCAATAATTCTGCCAATAATGTTTATGTCGAGAGTGGAATTCAAACCGCCAACCTTCAGATCAGTTTTTTCACAACGGCTAGAAGTGCTACGCTGTAGGGTAAATGTCACTTACGTTGATGCTTTTTTATGGCAAAATGTCTCGCATATTTTCCACCAGCTTCATAAATCTGGCTACCCATCACCAATTCTTCATCCAACAAGGTCCACAAAGGACATATTCTGTCCTTGAAGAATTTATCCACAACTATTAAGGTAAGAAAGACGAAAACGTAAAGGCAAACAATGACCAGCATTAGTAAAACATAAGTAATAAGTAATTTGTTATTAAGTAACTTGTGAACACAGATTGATTCTACAATTAAAATTAAAAATCGATTTCATAATGTAGATATTAGCATAGATAGATTTGTGCAGTTTGAATGCTACACATGTTCACGGATTACATGTCTAGCATTTAAATCTCTCTGTCTATGCTAATATCTACATCATGAAATACATTTTTACTTGTAATTGTAGAATCAGTCTGAGTTCACAAGTTACTTATGTTTTATTCATTCATGACCATAATGTTAGTTTTGCTCAGGAGTAGTTCACTAATGCCAGTCATTGTTCACCTTTATGTTTTCGTCTTTTCTTACCTTGATAGTTAAATTCTTCATGGACAGAATATGTTCTTTGTGGACCTTGTTGGATGAAGACTTGGTGATGGGGCAGATTAATGAATCTGGTGGAAAATATGCAAGACATTTCCACAGATATTTTGCTATAGAAAAGCATTAACGTAAGTGACGTTTACCCTACATCACTGCTCTTCCGGTCGTTGTGAAAAAAGGTCTATAATGCCTTACTCTGAAAAATTCCAGGCAAAGCAATATCATCTCCATGAAGAAAAGCAGGTGGCAGACCTTTATACCAGAAAAGTTACATAGTACACCTTTTAAAGATGGCTTAAAATGTCTAGTACCACAGTGGCTGATTTGTGTAGTTAACAGACAAATAAGTAAGTTATAAGATGATAAATTGGACAAAAGAGTGCACTCACACGATCAAAACAATGTGTGAAGTCTTCCCCATATGTTACGCTCAGCTACAGTTGGTGTCACTTACCCTTGAAACTTCACACATGTTCATGTATAATATCTTTTTTTTTGATCCAGAGCCAAACTTGACATGATTTTGACGACGCTGCACTCCCGTTTATTACTGACCACTCTTGTGTAGTGTCCTTGAAGAGCCTCAGTCCATATCTCGGGCTGGTCTCTCTTGCACACTTCTCTGCAAATATTTCTGAAGTTAATGAGCTGTATGCTGTTGATCCTACACACAGCACCATCTCAAGATAATTTATGAAGCATGCAATCAGCCTCCACTCCAGCGCAAACAGGAGGTTCCAATAAGCTTTTCTATCTCAATTTTAATGGCCATGTGGTAGTGTGAGCATCTTAAGAAATTAATTAGTTTCCATTTTGCTATGTCCTCTGTCAAGCTTTTCTAACCTCTTGTAAAAAGGCAATTTTAAAAGGTGTGATTTGTGTTAGTTAACGTGGCATTACAGTTGGATGGTTTAGTTGTTTTGTAAGCACAACACTGACAAGAGTAATCTGAACAAGAGCAGGGCTTAAGTGAACAGTGCTTAACTATTACTCAAATCAAAATAATTTTACCATGACGCATTTCAGAAGATCACGCCAACAGTCAACAAATAATCACAGGCATTCACAGTACTGCAGCCCTAGCTAATACAATTATTTGT